CAAACCTCAGAGCCGCCCACCCGGCCCCTGGATGGGGCCTGGAAACTCAGCACTGCAGACTCAGGAGATTTTCCAGGCTGTGTGTGCGCCTGCACATATGTGCTCTGTTGAAAGGCGGGGGTGGGGTAGGGGAATGTTGCAACCAGGGAAACTGATGTGAAAAGGAAGAGGTCCCAGGTCCCAGTCTGGGCAAGAGGTGGAGGAAAGATCGTACCTTCTCATCCCACCCTCATCCCACCTCATCTGGGGACACGTCACTTTGTTCTTTCTGGTAGCCTTGATCAGCAACCAAAAAGGGGACAGGTGGGGTGGAGGTGCCCTAATTTGGAATCTAAGGAGAAGAGACATACAGGACACAGGTCTAGGGACAGGCAGGGGGTGTCAGAACCTGCCCAAGAGTCCCCACAAAAGAGAGGCCTGTGGAGCCCAGCACAGACTCCATAGCTAGTCCTGTGGGCAGAGCCTTGAGGAGGCACCTGGCCTTAAGAGGCACAGCCGCCAGCCCCCAACCCCACCTAGGGGACTCAGAGACAGGGCTTCTAGAGGCTCTGAAAAATAAGCAGCAGCCTCCCCAGCCCAAACCTCTCCATTCAGCAAAAGAAAATGTACCACAAGAGCTGTATCTCCTCCCCAGCAACCACCCCCCAGACAAACCCACATCCTCTCCCTAGAGAACCCCTGGGGTTCCCCCCACTACCCTGAAGTCTCAGGGCACCTTACTGATTCCTTCTGGAAAGAGCCAGGCAGGAGGCAGAGGAGGGCAGGGGGCAGGTCCGGAGTCCTGGCTCCCAAATGTGAACTTGGCCTGGCCTCTTCCTACAGCTGCCCAGGGCAGCGCTCTTCTGGCCCCTCTCTGCTCTCCCACAGCCTGAAACCAGGCCTTGGGCAGCTCCCACGCTGGATGAAGGTCATCGCTGGGCAGCAAAGAAGCAGGGTGGCTCAGGACAGCCAAGCGACCCACTCCCCCTGCTGCCTATACTATGGGGAAGGTGGCCAGGGAGTGGGGGAAGGCCTAGGTCCCCCTGACCAGGTCATGGGAGAGCAAGGGAGGGGCTGGGTATGTGTGGATTGACACTGTGCGTGTGCATGTGTGCAAACATGGGCCATGAGCGTGTACACTACTGTCTGGATGGATGCTTGAGTGGGTGTCCAGGGACAACACAGAGTGGGAGGGAGAGGGGAGCCCTTGGGAAGAAAAGGCCACGTTGTGGAATAGATGTCCATTTGGCTGGCTCTGGGCTTGGAAGAAAGGGAGGGACTCTCTTCTATCCTAAAACCTTCCTGCCAAGGTCCTGAGTTCCAGCCACAGGCAAAGAACCAGGCACTTTCCTAGACCTCCCGGGAGGCTGGCCGTGGCACCCCAGTGCTGAGCAGAGCTGGATTGCTGGTCCTCTCAGCCAGAGGCAAGGAGTATGGGACGTTCCCCTTCACCCAAAAGGTGGCAGGAGTTCCTAGGCCCGGCACAGGAGTGCAGCTTTGAGATAGGGGTACAGGTGTCACTGTGGTCAGCCCGGACCCATCCCATGCCCCTAACAGCACTTCCCTGCCCCGCTCACCATGTCTCCCCTGCTGTCTCCCTGCCTCCTCCAGGATGGGGCTTCCCAGATCCAGTTCTGTCTCCCCCACACAAACAGGAACAAGCCTGGGCCAGTAAAATTGGGGCAGAACAAGCCGGCTCAGGCTGGCCTAGGATTCTGGGGGTGGGAAGGATGGGGGAGCAGCCACCCCAGATCCTAGTGCTTCTCTAAAGAGGAGCCGAGGAGGGCAGATAGGAGGGAGCAGAGCAGGTGAAGTGTGCGGGACCCAGGAGTCCTGGCCCCCAGCAGCTGACCCTCTCCCCAAGATCCTCCCCTTGAATTATTAGAGGGTGGCGGCCCTTGCCTCTGGGGGCCAACAGCAGCCCAGCAAGGAGCTCCTTACTCGCTAGGAGCTGGCAAGGAGCAAAGACTTCTGGGAATTCCAGATTTAATGGCCACCTTTCCCTGGGGGGCTTCTGATACTGGGGACAGGGAGCTGTGGCTCACAGCCTGGAACTGGGGGTCACTGGAGGGGGAAACAAGAGAGTCAGGATGTGTGTGGCCAGAGCTCGGGAGGGCTGAGGGCACCCACCACAGCTTCAGATGGTACAAGTCTGACTTCATGATGCCTTGTACCAGCCGGGCCCCAGCCTGGCCTGGTGGCTTAGGATGCCCCTCTCTGTCCTCCCTGGAGTAAACTGCCCTACCCAGGATGCTGGGAGACCCCCGGGAGTGACTCCTTGAACCTCCTCAGTGCTGGGGTGGAAGAGCCCGGCTTCGGGGAGAAAGTCAGCAGTAAGGAGGAAGAGGGAGGCTGGGGAATGGTGAGACCCATGACCTCCTCACCCTGTGTAGCTCCCAGGCTCCCAGGCCCACTTCCCCAGCCAGCTCCTCCAGCTCCTCGCTCCTCTGGCCTCTGACTCCCGAGCTCTCCATGAACAGAGCACTCCATAAGCTGACGAGGGAGGCACTGCGAACATCCCCCAGGAGAGGGAGGAAGTTGAGGCGGAGACCGAGGCTCAGGGTGGCTCAGCGACTTGGCCAAGGTCACACAGCTAATAAGCTACATTTAGACTCACATGCACAGGTCATTCTGATTTCTGACTATTACGATACTTTCTGGAGTCGAGGGTGGCTAGAACCTAAATCTCAACCCAGGAACACAAATCAATTCGAGTGATGGAAGTTTGAGAGCTGCTGGGACCTTTCGGCCCCAGGGGTGGGAAGGTTCTGGAGGGGAGAGGGAGTCACTCCCAGGAGCCTCCCAGCAGCCCGGATGGGGCAGAGTCCACTCCAGAGAGGGCAGAGAGGAGCGATTCAAGTCACCAGGCCAGGCTGGGGAGGGGCTGGTGCAGGCTGACGACGACAGGCATCGTGTCCCTTCTGAGGCTGCAGTGGGCACCCTCAGCCCTCACGAGCTCTGGCCACACACCTCCATGGATGTCCAGGCATCCCTAAGCACAGGAGAAGAGAGAGTGGGCAGGAGGCAAAGAGTGACTGTCCCCTCCACCCTAGACCCACCCAGAGGGAACGGGGGATCCTTGAGGTCTTGCCTAATGCCCAACCACTGCCCCCACCCCCAACTATCTTGCCCATCTCCTGGCTCGCAGTTTCCTTGCTCCTTGCTCAGAAGCTCAGCTTCCAACTGTCCAGCCACTGCCAGGCCTTGGTCTGTGGGGGAAAGGGGTGGGCTCACAGCCGACAGGGCCTGGACCCTGGAAACTTGGGGCCACTAGGCAGACCTGTGTGGGGAGGGCTTTGCCGCTTCCTCCTCCCACCCCTGTGGTGTCCTAGCTTCCTGTTCTTGATAGCGATCAACACAGGCCCAGAGCCCGGCCCTCTTTCCAACCCCCACCTGCCCCCTGCTGTACCCCCTGGGCCCCTGCTACCCACCAGTGGAAACACTGACTGGTGTAGGGGGTGAGGCCAGTCGCCGGGTCACTGCCTGCAAGCACGGTAGGGGCTCTCAGGTTCCTGTTCCTCTCCACTGTGTCCTGAGCACCGGCGCCAACCCCTTTCCCAGCCCTAATCGGCCTCCTTCTCAGGGAAACCCACCCACTCCGAAGAGGAGGGCAGGTTGCAGGGAAGAAGGCGCCAGGGTCTGCTGGCCATGGAGGGACTCAGAAAAGAGCCAGCCCCTGTCCTCACTGCCAAGAGTAAGGGCAGGTGCTAGGAGGCCTCCTGAGCCTCAGAGGGTCATTCCTGTTCTTCATATCAACCCCTCCCCAGGGGGCCAGCAGAAGGTCAGCCCCTCCCGATCACCCCCTCCAGCGTGCCTACCCCTGTGCCTATGGTACCTCATTTCTTTTTTGCTGTCACCATTTGACAGCTGAATCAGGAAAGTGGGTGGAAGAAAGAGGACGTGGATTGTGCGTGTTGGGGGCCGGGAAGGGAAGGGTGTTTGAAATATTACAAGGTGAAAGGAGGCGTGCAGCGAGCGTGAACCAGCTGGGCTGCCGGCCCGCAAGGAGCCTGCCAAGGCCAGGCAGGGGCAGGGGGCAGAGGAGTCTTGCACTTGGGGGCCACCCCTCAGGTCCCAGGCACCCCAGCAGCGAAGAGGACATGGGAGTCCCCTGCTGTGAGGGCCAGAGACTGTCCGCTGTCTGTAAGTCTTCCAAGCAGATGTCAGGGTTCTGGGAGGAGGCCCGCAGGGGACTGGGGGCCCAGGGAAGCCCCTCAGATTCCCTCCTACAAGTGGACTCTGCTGTCTGCTTCCTCCTGGGCTGGCTACACTCAGGTGTGGGCTACAGAGAGCTGGGCTGTGGTGCAAGGCATGAGACGACCTTTTTGGCCTGGCCCCGGGCCTTTCCTTCCCATTGTGAGGCATGGATTCTTGCCTCCTCCTTTTCCCCACGCCAAGTCTGTGCCACATCTGCTCTGGAAAGATGTGGTCTGTGCTTGGCCATGAATTCCCAAGGCTTGAAGCAGCAAGGGCTTTGAGGGAGAGGGCTGTAGGGCAGAGGCAGAGAAGCAGAAATAAGCCTCTGGCCAAGGTCAAGTTGAGCAGAAGAACCTTGGGTTCTTTGTGGGACAGCACAGAGCTGGGGGTCAGACGAGCTGTGCCCAGCAAGTAGGCAGCGGCTAGATGTGAAAAAGACCCAGAGGAGAAACACAGCAGGACGGGAGAGGGTCTGGAAGCCGGGGAAGCAGGATGGTCAGGAAGGCCTAGCCCCTCACCCGTTCCCAGGAAACAGGGCCTTGGGATCCAGAAGGGCACGGGCGGGAGGCACCCGACCCCTGGTGGCAGCGGCAGCAGGCACAGGAGGGCAGCATGCAGCTGGGGTGTGCGTGGGTGGCAGCAAGGAGGGGCGGAGGGAGGAAGCTGGCTTCCTGGAGCCTTCTCAGCCCTCAGAGATAGACTGACAGACAGACAGACAGCTGGCAAGAGGCAGCCTGGGGGCCACAGCTGCTTCAGTAAGTATCTGAAGGGGGACCGGGAGTCCTGTGGCCCTGGGAGTTGCGAACTCCAGGGATATAAGAGGGCATCTGCAGGGGGGAGTGGGGGGGGGGGGGCGAGCGGGGAGCTACAAGGCCTGGCTGGGGAATGGGTGCTCACAGCCCTGATGTCCCCAGGACGTGGGTAAGCATGGAAGCCACAGGGAGCTGCAAGGAGAGCGGAGGCTCAAGGCCCCCTTTCTGTTGCCAGAGACCCTCTCTCTACCACCCACACCTGCGCCGGACCCGCCCTGTCCCCTCACCTCCATCCCTGCCGCCTTGCTGACTAATCACCCTGCCACCTCGCCCGCTGTGACCCTGGCTCTGCGAGATAGGGACTGCCCCCAAGAGGAGATGGTCCCACCATCTGCATGCCCCCTGTCTTGCCCCAGCTGTCGCCTCACCATGCGCTGTCGCTCAAGGGCTTGGTGAGGCCATTTCCTGTGACGGTTGCAGAGGCGGGAGGCGGGGGATGGGCAGGAGGAGGAAGGAAACACCCCCAGCCTACCTCCCTGGACAGAGACCCCAGAAGCCAGAAACGGACTTAGGAGTGGAACATCAGCAGTTAGGAGAGGACCCTGCCGGGGTCCCGGAGCTGGCCTGCCTGGCTGCCCACCCACCTCCAGCACTGCTGCAGCCGCCATCCCCTGTTGAGGAGAAGGCCCACTGGTTAGCTCCGAGATGGCTTCTGCACGCGTTCTCCCTTCCGTCCTAGAGAACACATGTCTTCCATTTCCTCCCTTGCCCTCTCCACTTGGACCCGCGCAGAGCCCTGTGTGGCCTCTCTCGTCTCTCTCTTCCTCCTTTTGGCTTCTTTCCTATCTTCATCCACAATCTCTACCCTTCGTCTTGCCGTTACTCTAACCCGAGACGGCCTTCTGCCCTGGGTCCCACCAAAGAGATCCCGTCCTTCCTGTAGTGAACATGAGGCTACCTCTTGGGGAACAGGAGGCGCCCCAGTGAAAACGGGGCGCAAAGCCGGCCTGGGCGTGGGAGCCTCCTTCTGGCCAATCAGTCAGGCCAGGGAACAGCAGCGGAGGGCCCTGTCTTTCAGGCAGACCTCATGGCTGAGTGAGCCTCCCCTGGGCCCAGCACCCCACCCCAGCATGGTCCAGGCCCGTGGAGGGAGCTCCACAGCACAGCCGCCGACCGTTTCTTTGGGGGCAGCCATGACCCAGCCTCCGCCTGCCAAAACGCCAGCCAAGAAGCATGTGCGGCTGCAGGAGAGGTGAGCTCTTCCCTGGGGGAGGGGTCTTCCCAGCCCTGAGCCCCAATCCGTTCCTCCCTTCCCTCCACCTGCTCCTCCAGCTCTGACAGCAGAGTCCAGAGGACCCACAATTGTTGACTCCAGTATGGAAAGGAAACCAGTAGTGCTCATTTGCATGTGTTTTGCATGTCTGGAGCAGAGTTTCTTATCAACCCTGAGCCTGCTCCCTAAATTCCAGGCCAGGCCAGTGGCCTTCTCGGTGCTGGATGCACGTCAGAGCCACGGGGCCTGGCTGGGAGTGGGAAGGGGCAGGCAGCTGGAAGGAGCAGTTGAGTTCAAGGCTGCCCTGTCTGGCTGACACAGGGAGAGGGCTGAGCCCGGCATGGTAGCTCATGCCCAAAATCTCAGCACTTTGAGAGGCTGAGGTGGAAGGATCTCTTGAGTCCAGGAATTGGAGACCAGCCTGGGCTAGGAAGGGGGGAGAAAAAAAGGTATAGAGCAGGGGCCTGAACCCTAAATTCATTGGGCATCCATGTTAAAGGAAAGACAAGGAACGGCCCCCTCAGAGGTACCTCATAACAGTAATACTTGTAAGAAAAGCAAGTGTGGTCAGGCACAGTGGCTCATGCCTATAACCAGCACTTTGGGAAGCCAAGGCAGGAGGATCACTTGAGCCCAGGAGTTCAAAACCAAAAAAAGAAAAAAAAAATTCTTTTAAATTAGCCAGGCACAGTAGCATGTGCCTGTGGTCCCAGCTACTCCGGAGGCTGAGGTGGGAGGATCGCTTCAGTTCAGGAGTTTGAGGCTGCTATGAGCCATAATGGTGCCCTCACACTCCAGCCTGGGCAACAGAGAGAGACCCTATCCCTAAAAGAAAAGATAAAAAGCAAAGCAAATACGATTGGGTGCTCACTAGGCAGTGTGGGCTGTGCCTGCAGGCGGGGCTCCAATGTGGCTCTGATGCTGGATGTCCGGTCCCTGGGAGCTGTAGAACCCATCTGCTCCGTGAACACTCCCCGGGAGGTCACTCTGCACTTCCTGCGCACTGCTGGACACCCCCTTACCCGCTGGGCCCTTCAGTGCCAGCCACCCAGCCCCAAGCAGCTGGAAGAAGAATTCTTGGTAAGAAATTGAGGTCCCCTCCGAATTGCTCTGCTCTGTATCAGAGGCAGCCAGCTGGAACCGTTCTCTCACAGGGACCGTGGGCCTGTCTCCTCTCTGGACCCCTCAGGAAAGAGAATTCTAGGGCTGGGGGAGAGGGCTCCCCCTGGGCTTCCCCTTCTGCCCCCACCCCATCTAGGCCTACATATTAATATCAAGAAGGAACAGCCAGAGCCCAGTTGTTCTAGAAAAGAATAGAAGAGGAAAAAAGGAGGCTAGGAAGGGGAGTCAGCTGCTCACTCATTTCCTCCCTCTGCCAGAAGATCCCTTCAAACTTTGTCAGCCCCGAAGACCTGGACATCCCTGGCCATGCCTCCAAGGACCGATACAAGACCATCTTGCCAAGTAAGAACTGCAGCTAGGATGAAGGGAGCTGGGCACAGGCCCTGGGGCTGGAGAACTTCAGAAGGCAAGGCACATGGTTTCAGCCAGGGAAGGATGACCTTACTTGGGGCATCTTCTCTCAGCAGAGAAAGGGGGAAGAAGGAGCAGGAATCACAACAGCAGCAATAATAATGTTTGCAGATGTGCACCCTGGGCCAGGCCCTGCTCTCAGTCCTTTATATTCACTAATTTCTCATAACAATCCCATGAAGTTGGCACTGTGATATTATGATGACCATTGTACAAATCTCTGTGCCTTCACAGTAAGGCACAGAGAAGTTGAATATCTTACCTAATATATTCAACTTAGCTGCTTGCACCAAACCCTCTTCCTCATTTTCCTCTCTCATGGGAAATGCCCAGCCAAGGCTTGCAGTGGAAGAAGGAACGCTAGGAGGGCTCCCAGAGAGAGGGTTTTGAGAAAGTCAGATGGAGGAGGCAGGGCAACAGCCAGCAAGGAGCAGTGGTGGGGGTGGGGATGGAGGATCCTGGGCTAGGAGGGGCTGACCCTGCAAGCTGACAGACGCAGGACCAGCACCTTCTAGTTTTCAGAGGCAGGCACGAGGCCCCAGAGCCTCTCCCTCCCTCCTCCGCTCCCCCTGCAGGGAAGCTACTCCCAGCTTGAGGCTTTAGCTCTGGAGCACACGAGTCCTGCCTCCTGCTAACCCTCCTGGAGTGCCCTCTGCCTGCAAGGGCGGATCAAGGGGCTATCCAAGCCACGGGGAGGAGTAGCCCTTGTTCTTGGCCGAATTCTAATCAGCACTGCAGCTACCAGAAAAGGGAAAAATCCCTTTGCCTGAGATTCCTGTGGTCCCAGGACACCCTCTGTCCATGATCAGGCTGGTATGAGCAGAGCGAGAGTCTCTTCTCCTCTCCTCACGAGCCGTCTTCTTCATTCCTGTTTGGACATGGATGAAGAAATGAAATTTAGAGAAATCTTCCCCCTTAGAGGCAGAGGCCAAATGCCTCACGGCTGAGTGGGATTTGAGTCCTAGTCCCACTTCACGGCTGTATGATATCCGGCAAGTTGCTCATCTGAATCCCGTATTCACCGTTAGAAAACAAATTCTCCTTTCTCTACATCTCTTTTTCATCCCTATTGGCATAATCTTATTCTAAACCCGTACCGATCTCAAGGTTAGAATCACTATATCTATTAGAATATTATATATTTATGGCCGGGCGCGGTGGCTCAAGCCTGTAATCCCAGCACTTTGGGAGGCCGAGGCAGGTGGATCACGAGGTCAAGAGATCGAGACCATCCTGGTCAACATGGTGAAACCCCGTCTCTACTAAAAATACAAAAAATTAGCTGGGCATGGTGGCGTGTGCCTGTAATCCCAGCTACTCAGGAGGCTGAGGCAGGAGAATTGCCTGAACCCAGGAGGCGGAGGTTGCGGTGAGCTGAGATCGCGCCATTGCACTCCAGCCTGGGCAACAAGAGCAAAACTCCGTCTCAAAAACAACAACAACAACAACAACAACAACAACAACAATGGTTTCAGTGGGGTATCAGGCCACCTGCTATACACAAGGCGCCGTGACTTGATGAGCACAGGAACTCTCCTCCTTCTGCCCCTGCTGGAGTCTGTGTTAGTTGGTTACCTTTTGACCTCTGACCTCTGCTGATTTTTATTTCCTAGATCCCCAGAGCCGTGTCTGTCTAGGCCGGGCACAGAGCCAGGAGGACGGAGACTACATCAATGCCAACTACATCCGAGTGAGTGGTCTGCTGCAGTGGTGGGCGGGGGATGGGGGAACTCTCAGACGTCTGAGAATATCTTCCAGCCGTGGCTGGTGGATCAGGCGCCTGCATTTCCCACCCTCCCTGCTCCAGCTCACCTCTGTCATAGACCTACCAAGCTGGGCTGGCACTGAACAGGCCCCAATTCACCAACCTAGAAACGGAGCAGGTGTTAAAAATATTTGGAGAGACCACTGAGTCTCCCTAATCTCCCCATCAGCCCTCCCATGCGCCCTCTAGACTTAGCAGGAAGTTAGCATTGTTGAGCCCAATCTCCAGCTGCTTGAGAGCTCACAGCTCCCGAGACCTGCATAGGTGATGCCAGCACTAATGGGACATCCCTCCCCTCTTACCTTAAGTGTCCTTCAAATAGTCCCTTTTATGTGAAGGAGGTTGATTGACATCAAGATATAGGAAGCTCTGGGCCAGGTAGGTGCTCCACGCCAGCTTCTCGCTGCTGTGGGCCCAAAGGAGATGTAAAAGCAGTGCTCTCTAGTGGCTCAATGTGGGTAAGACAGCAGTCAGGGGTGCAGGGAGGCGATAAACCTCTTAGCTCGGGAAGCCGTGGGGACATATGATGTTCCATTTGCCAGCCAATACCAAATCAACTGTAGTCAGGATTTCACCATCATTTGAGGAGCAGGAAGCTGAGGATCCTGAAGGCGAGAAAATCAGGTTAGGGAGAGTGTGCTGCATTTTGCTGTTACTTTTATAGAAAAGTAACAAGTTAATGTGAAACTGTCACTGAACAAATATTAGACACTGTTTAGCTATTTTATGCTAGAAGAAAGCAGCAGGGGAGGAAGGGAACAAACATCTGCAGAACACTTGCTATCTGCTAGACTCTCAATATATCTTACTGAATTTAATCCACTCTGTATTATGATAGACATTATTATGCCCAATTTACAGCTGATACAACTGAGGCTTACAGAGGCTAAGTAACTGGCTCATAGTGGAACAGCCAGGAAACTGAAGAACAGGGATCTGATCCTTACTCCAGAACCTGAATCCTTTCCACCATGTGGCTTCTGAATGTGCGTGTTCATGCACGTGTGTGCCTACACGTGTGTTCACAGCTTCAGGCTGACCCCAGCACCTGAGGCATCCAGGATCTCCCCAGAGCTCTGCTCTCACTGCTCCCCACCCCTTCCCCTGTGCTTCCACCTTCCCAGGGCTATGACGGGAAGGAGAAGGTCTACATTGCCACCCAGGGCCCCATGCCCAACACTGTGTCGGACTTCTGGGAGATGGTGTGGCAAGAGGAAGTGTCTCTCATTGTCATGCTCACTCAGCTCCGAGAGGGCAAGGAGGTAGGAGCAGAGCCACAGTTCTTGATTAATCCAGAAAGTGCTATGCTCACCCCACCCCCCAACCGCCACCCACGGCAGCTCAAGACCAGAGCCTTCCCTGGAATCCAGCCCCAGCCCACACCTCTCAGTAAGTTCCCTGAGATAGACCTAGGAAGGCTGTCCATGGCCAAAATATGGGATAGAGTGAGCACTCTGACTGCAGGTATCAAGCTCAGAAGAGCCAGGCCCCCTGTTGATAACCACCCACCCAGTAGGGGTGGAAGATGGGGAGGAGACACCAGCCCCTCTCTGCTGCCCCGTTCCCCTGTTCCAGCTGACCCTCTTCTGACTCACAGCTCCCTCTCTCCTAGAAATGTGTCCACTACTGGCCCACAGAAGAGGAAGCCTATGGACCCTTCCAGATCCGCATCCAGGACATGAAAGAGTGCCCAGAATACACTGTGCGGCAGCTCACCATCCAGGTACCACTCCTGGGGCCAGGCCCAGTGGGAAGTTGGGCCTCCCACAACATCTCTGGAACTCAGGCCGGCTCTTCGCTAAGAGCCAAGGGCTTGCTCATCTAAACCATCTTAAACCTACATCTATAGAAGAAAGAGAAACTTGAGCACAGTCCTCAGCCTCTAGTCTAATAGGGCAAAGCCAACAAGCCAAATAGGAACCACCAGGAAGTACCACCCGTCTGTGTGAATGGTCAGGCGAGGAGAGGCAGGATCCAGGAGTCATGCCGAGGGAAAGCGAGAAGGTTGAAGGAGATGTGGAAGGCTGGGCGCGGTGGCTCACGCCTGTAATCCCAGCACTTTGGGAGGCTGAGGTGGGTGGATCATGAGGTCAGGAGTTCGAGACCAGCCTGGCCAACATGGTGAAACCTCATCTCTAGTAAAAATTATAGCTACCTGGGGGGCTAAGACAGGGTAGTCACTTGAACCCAGGAGGCGGAGGTTGCAGTGAGCTGAGATCATGCCACTGCACTCTAGCCTGGGTGATGGAGTGAGACTCTGTCTTAAAAAAAAAAAAAAAAAGACAGGGAGCAGTGGCTGTAGTCCCAGCACTTTGGGAGGCTGAGGTGGGCAGATCACCTGAGATCAGGAGTTTGAGACCAGTCTGGCCAACGTGGTGAAACCCCATCTCTAAAAATAAAAATAATTAAAAAAAAAAAAGAAAGAAAGAGATGTGGAAAAACATGTACATAGGGGCTTTTAAAATGCCTTCTATTATTTTCTGTTGTTTTATATTTTTGAAAGCATTTCTCCATCAATTCATTCTCCTCCAAACATCCTGGCAAGTAAACCAGTAAGATAACACTGTCCCCATTTTCCATGACGAAAATGACATTAAGGGACTTGCCCAAAGTCATGTGCTTATTAGAAGCAGAGCCAGGACTTGAGACAGACTTGGATCTCTCCCAGGACAATGCTCCTTCCCAGCATTTTGGAGGGGGAAGTGGTGGAGAATGATGAGTGGGAAAATCGCCACCTAGCCTGCTTTGAGTAGAAGACCCCTGCCCACCCCCATAGGGTAATTCCAGCCCTTGCCCTCCTCAGGCACCAGAGAAGAAGGTAGACAGTGCCCTCCACCCTGACCCTGGTTCCCATGCCTTGTCTCCAACCTAGTACCAGGAAGAGTGCCGGTCAGTAAAGCACATCCTCTTCTCGGCCTGGCCCGACCATCAGACACCAGAATCAGCTGGGCCCCTGCTGCGCCTAGTGGCAGAGGTGGAGGAGAGCCCCGAGGCAGCCGCCCGCCCAGGGCCCATCGTGGTCCACTGCAGGTGCGTGGCCTCCCTCCTACTGCAGCCTGGGTACTGCGCGCCCCTCGCCCTGGCCCCTGGGTCTCTCCTGGGGAAGGGTCTGAGCAGAAAAGCATCAGGTAAGCCTAGTTCTTACTTGGACATGACTCGCAAGGCCATTCAGCAAGGGCTCTATTCTTTTCACCTCCTTCATGCAAAACCCAGACATCTGGGCTGGACACCCAGGCCCCATCCACAGGGGGGATGGAATATCAGGAAGGTCCCAGTCAGCTGCAGGACGACATAAACAGGATTCCAGCTGTTGGGGAATTCATTTACTCATTCAACAAATATGTATTGAAAACCTATTATTGGCCAGGCCTGGTGGCTCACACCTATTATCCCAGTACTTTGGGAGGCCAAGTAGGGCAGATCACGTGAGATTAGGAGTTTGAGACCAGCCTGGCCAACATGGTGAAATCCCATCTCTACTAAAATATACAAAAATTAGCCAGGTGTGGTTGTGCACACTTGTAATCTCAGCTACTCAGGAGGCTGAGGCAAGAGAATTGCTTGAACCCTGGAGGCAGAGTTTGAACCTTGGAGGTGGAGGTGAACAGAGATGGCACCTCTGCACTCCAGCCTGGGTGACAGAGCGAGACTCCATCTCAAAAAAAAAAAGAAAAGAAAACCTATTATTGTCAGGCACAGTGTTAGATGCTAGAGAGACAGCTGTGAACAAAGCAGCTTGCTTTCTTCCCAGACAGGTTTAAAGGCTGGTGAGAAAGAAGCCAGATTAGGCCAGGCACAGTAGCTCACACCTGTAATCCCAGCACCGGGGAGGCAGGGGCAGGTGGATCACCTGAGGTCAGGAGTTCGAGACCAGCCTGGCCAACATGGCGAAACCCCATATCTACTAAAAATTAGCCAAGCATGGTGGCACACGCCTGTAATTCCAGCTACTTGGGAGGCTGAGGCAGGAGAATCGCTTAAATCTGGGAGGTGGAGGTTGCAGTGAGCCGAGACCACACCACTGCACTGCAGTCTGGGCAACAGAGCAAGATTCCGTCTCAAAAACAAAAAGAAGGCAGATTAAACAACGTGATGAGAGCCGTGATGGGGATATTATGAAGGCATAGAACCAAGTCTCCTAAGACAGACTTTGACCAAAGAAGGCTTTCCAAGAGAAAGGCCAAGCTAAGACTTGAAAAGTGAATTAGCCAAGTTAAGGGAGGGAAGGGAACACATTCCAGGCGGGTGGAACAGCGTATGCTGAAGCCCAGAGAAGAAATGTGGAAATGGATAACTGCTGGGGGCAGGGTTATGGGCCAGGCCCAGAGGTTATATGTGGGGTAATGATGAGAGATGGGTTTGGAAGGCCAGTGAAGATTACATGATGAGGAACCTTGTAGGACTGGCTAAGACGCTTGGATTTGCCATTTTAAAAGAACACTTTGGCTACAGTGTGAAAAATGGATTGGGTGAAGTGAGAGGGTGTCGTGGGGGACAAGACTAAAGAAAGAAACCATTTGGAAGTGCATATCCTAAAGAAAGCAGAGCACAGAGGCAAAAGCACGGCAGAGGGGCCTCCCAGCCCACCCACAGGCAGCACTGAGACGTGCTGGGAGTTCATTAGGGGTCACACAAGAGGAAGGGGAGCCCTGGGAGCCTCTTTATTTCAAAATAAAGAGAGGGCATGGTGGAGGAGAGCAGAGCAGAGAGAAGGCTGTGGGAGGGCGCCGAGGTGGGAAACAGAAGGGCTGGGCGTGGGCTACGTGAAAGATGAGTCTGACGGGGCGGGGGGCTGTGGCTCACGCCTGTAATCCCAGCATTTTGAGAGGCTGAGGTGGGCGGATCACAGGGTCAGGAGCTGGAGGCCAGCCTGACCAACATGGTGAAAAAATGCAAAAAAATTAGCCATGCGTGGTGGCACACACCTGTAATCCCAGCTACTAGGGAGGCTGAGGCAGGGGAATTGATTGAACCAGGGAGGTGGAGGTTGCAGTGAGCCGTGATCACACCACTGCACTCCAGCCTGGGTGACAGACAGAGTCTCCATCTAAAAAAAAAAAAGATAAGTCTGGGCTGAGACAAAGTCAAGGTTAGATAAGGAGGGCTCGAGGGTCAGCACGTTCACAAGTGGGGAACTGTCCGTTGGAAACCGCTGTAGCCTCTCAGCAGAAGGGAAATCGTCAAAACGTCCACAGGGACCAGGACAGGCCCCTGTTAGGACAGGCTTACAGTGAGGCAGGTAAGAAATGTAAACTCCTTCTGGTCCAGTTACAACCTGCCTCCAGCAGGGTCCCCAAGGGGACTGGAATCTGGAGTACTGCTACCTTCCCCCATCTCCAGAGCCCTATCCCCAAAACACAGTACCGGCAGGTCCCATTTCTTTCTCTGTAGTTTGGGGCCCTGGCTCCCAAATTCCCTGTCTCCCATGACCTCCCTGTCTCCTCCCTGGCTATATCCAGTGCAGGGATTGGCCGGACGGGCTGCTTCATCGCCACAAGAATTGGCTGCCAACAGCTGAAGGCCCGAGGGGAAGTGGACATTCTGGGCATTGTGTGCCAACTGCGGCTAGACAGGTGGGTCTGTGGATGGAAACAAGGCCAACAACGTTAACAGCGGGCATCGGTGCCCCTGGACCCCAGAGCCCTGCTCGATCCATCACCATCAAGCACTCCTGCAAGAAAGGAAGAAATCTTTTCTGCTTAGAGCTGTTTATTTTGCAACTAGCAACCAGGAAAAAATATCTATCTGGATGGCTGGGCACCATGGCTCACGCCTGTAATCCAGCACTTTGAGAGGCTGAGGCAGGTGGATCACCTGAGGTCAGGAGTTCAAGACCAGCCTGGCCAACATGGTGAAATTCCATCTCTACTAAAAATACAAAAATTAGCTGGACGTGGTGGCAGGCACCTGTAATCCCTGCTACTCGAGAGGCTGAGGCAGGACAGTCGCTTGAACCCAGGAGGTGAAGGTTGCAGTGAGCCAAGCTTGTGCCATTGTACTCCAGCCTGGGCAACAGAGCGAGACTCAAACAAACAAACAAAAAGAATATCTATCTGGAATGTTGGCTTGGAGAACTGGAATTAAACATGTCACTCTATGGATTTACCCTGGGCATTCAATCTTACCCCCAAGTTCCATACTCAGAGGAAAGTTAGCACGTGGGGTGTGTTTAATCCAAGATACGAGGCAGCAGCACGTGGTGCAAAGAAGCTCACGAGGTGGAGACAGAGCCAGTGTTCAGATTCGGACTTCTGTCTCACTGAGATGTCACTAGATTTCTCCGAGCCCCCATTTCTTTTTCTTTCTTTCTTTCTTCTTCTTTTTTTTAATAATAGAGATAGGGTCTTACTATGTTGCCCAGACTAGTCTTGAACTCCTGGGCTCAATAATGCCACCTTGGCTTCACAAAGTGCTGGGATTTCAAGCTTAAGCCACCATGCTCGGCCCCTACTTCTTTATCTAGAAAGAGATAATGGCTCCTTCCCCCAGAAAACTGTTGTAAGAAATGAATTTACTTATATGAAAGTGTTTTGGAAATGAAAACTACTATACAAATGTGTAGAATCATTATTTTTACTTTTAAGATTATTGGAAAGAAAGAAACTTGCTGGGTGCAGTGGCTCATGCCTGTAGTCCCAGCACTTTCGGAGGTTCAGGTGGGCAGATCACGAGGTCAGGAGTTCGAGACCAGCCTGACCAAGATGGTGAAACACCGTCTCCACTAAAAATACAAAAATTAGGTGGGTATGGTGGCATGCACCTGTAATCCCAGCTACTCAGGAGGCTGAGGCAGGAGATTCCCTTTAACCTGGGAGGCGGATGTTGTAGTGAGCCAACATAATGCCACTGCACCCCAGCCTGGTGACAGAGCGAGACTCCATCTGAAAAAAAAGAAAAGAAAGAAAGGAAAGATGAATTAAGTTGCTGGGTGCCGTGGCTCACACCTGTAATCCCAGCACTTTGGAGGGCAGAGGCAGGCTGATCACCTGAGGTCGGGAGTTTGAAACCAGCCTGACCAACATGGAGAAACCCCGTCTCTACTAAAAATACAAAAAATTAGCCAGACGTGGTGGCACATGCCTGTAATCCCAGATACTTGGGTGACTGAGGCAGGAGAATCACTTGAACCTGGGAGGCAGAGGTTGCATTGAGCTGAAATCATGCCACTGCACTCCAGCCTGGGCCACAACAGCAAAACTCTGTCAAAAAAAAAAAAAAAAAGGAAGGAAATTTGAGGCTCAGGAGTATTCCTGGCCTGACCCCCAGGGCTTCAGAGGTCTGGTTTTGTCCCAGGATCTGAGTGGATTAGGGAAGACCAAGTGTCAACATGGGGCATCACCCTCAGCACACCAAGCCACGTGTAAGGGGCAGAGGACGTCTCTCAAAGCAGATCTGAGGGGCAGCAAGGAGGAGTAGCAAGTAGAAAAGATGAATATAGGTGGCTCATGTCTGTAATCCCAGCACTTTGGGAGGCTGAGACGGGCAGATCACTTGAGGTCAGGAGTTCAAGACCACCCTGGGCAACATGGTGAAATCCCATCTCTACTAAAAACACAAAAATTAGCTGGGCATGGTGGCACATGCCTGTAATCCCAGCTACTCAGGAGATTGAGGCAGGAGAATCACTTGAACCCGGGAGGCGGAGGTTGCAGTGAGCTGAGATCATATCACTACACTCCAGCCTGGGCAACAGAGTGAGACTTCATCTCAAAAAAAGAAAAGAAAAGGAAAGATGAATATAGGTAGAGGAGTTGGCATTTCTTTGAGAAAGTCAGGACTTTCCCAGTAGGACCACGAGGATGTCTGGCTGGAGCTGTTCAGCTAGCACCCTGACCCTCCTTCACTCATGGTCTGTGTGTTTCTCCTTGCAGAGGGGGGATGATCCAGACGGCAGAGCAGTACCAGTTCCTGCATCACACTCTGGCCCTGTATGCAGGCCAGCTGCCCGAGGAAGCCAGCCCCTGACCCCTGCCACCCTCTAACGGCCCAGGTGCCCGTCTCCCTCAAGCCTGGGAAGGTGGGTCTGGGGAAAGTGGGCCGAGTGACCTGGGAGTACCCTATGGGTGAGTATGGGAAAGGAGTGCCTCCTTAGCGGTGCTTGCAGTCACAGGAAGCAGCATCAGCAAGGACAAGGGGCCAGATTCCAGGTCTTCACCACTGGCCACTCCTCTGCTTCCTCTGTTGGCCCCAGATGGACAGTAGGGGAACCTCCAATGTCTCTCTGAACTTAAAGACAGGAAGCCCAGGTGTCCTGGTCTTCCCTACGACACTCTTTGTGAGCTTTAGTTTCCTCTTCTATAACATGAACATTAAGTGCTTAGCTGCCATAAGGGAAAAGCAATAAGAGAAGTTTCTAGAAGCCATTGCAGCTGTATCCCCTTCCTGGGGCTGACAAAAGGGTGATTCCAAGATCATCCACCGAGGCCCTGCCCAAGCACAGGTCAGATGCAAGAGTGGGGAAAAGTCTGGTCCTGATCTCCAAGTTTCAACATCCTAGCAGAGACTCTGCTCCCTGACCACACATCAGAAGGGCTGGAGACCCACGATCAAAAGAAAGAACAAGACTGAGATTACCCTTGCCTCCATCCATGTGTCTGAGAGTAGGCTACAGAGGTGACCAGGTGGCAGCTGAAATCTGGAAGAGGGGACATTCGAGGCTACTCGGAGGCAAAGAGGGCTGCTCCTGCCTCTGTGGTTGCTGGCCACTCCCACCAACGACTCTTAGGGAGGCTCTCAGCAGTCTCTGTTCTGCTTCTATGGCTCAGATAATGCCCTGGGTACGCAGGAAGACAAAAGAAAGAGGGGGCTGGGCGCGGTGGCTCATGCCTTTAATCCCAGCACTTTGGGAGGCCAAGGCGGGCGGATCACCTGAGGTCAGGTGATTACAAAAAATTAGCCGGCATGGTGGTAAGTGCCTGTAATCCCAGCTACTCAGGAGGCTGAGGCAGGAGAATCACTTGAACCTGGGAGGCAGAGGTTGCAGTGAGCCGAGATCACACCACTGTACTCCAGCCTGGGTGACAAGAGTGAAACTCCATCTCAAAAGAAAGAAAAGAAAGGAGGAGGCAAGGGGAGAAGCGGAGGCAAAGTGCTCAGTCTGGTTTTAGAAAACCAACCACGGCAGGCCACGGCCCTCTCTACCCTGCATTTGCTGAGTACGCCTGGAGAGCTTGGTTGTTTCCAAAAACAATCAGGGTCATAACCATCCATGCGAACATGGAGGCTGGACCAAATTGGGACCCCTCACCATCTACCCCAAAGAGCTAAAGCCCCTCATCCATCTCGGCATCAACACAATTTCCAGGGCACCTCAGGTCTATCTCAGGACTGAACTCCACACCTCAGGATTCGTCCTCCTTGAATCTGATACTGGCTGCCCATCCTGAGATGGGGATGAAGGTGAGATGCCGCATCGCCCGGCACACCGCCCCTGAGAGCTGCCTTGGTTGCCACCAGCTCTCTGTGGAAACCCTAAGGAGCTGGATCTGGAGAACAGCTGGGCTTCCTCACTCAGGACTTCTCTCCTGAAGAACATGCAGTGCTGAAACAGGATGATTTCCCTAATGCTTCTGCTTGGCCTTACGGAGGAGCTCCTCCTTCCTTACAGGCCTGGGGTGGACTCGCCCGCACCTCCACCTCCCCTGAGCCCCGTGAGAGGCACGACTCTACGCCAATGAGGCGAGGCGGGGGGCTCTCAAGTGCCTGATCCTCCCCTGGGCTCAGAGCCAGCCTGTAGGGAAGCAACAGCACAGCCCCACAGGCCCTCCCTGGCACTGTCACCCCAGCCCCATCTCAGAGCTGAGGATGCAAACTCCAGAACAGTAACCAGGTGGGAAAATAAAGACTTCTTGGATGACTGACTCATTCCTTCTTTCCATCTTCTTCTCGGGCCTCTGGGGCCTCTTTGTAGCATGAGAGAACATAAGACTCTGCAGACCAGGGACAGGCAGGCTACAAATCTTTGCCCTTGGGATATGCACTTTTCTAGCACTTCCAAGGACATACAATAAGGTGAAACCAAAGGCAATTTAGGAAGTGAGACAGCAGCAGACGTCATAGTCTACTCAGGCAGATGTAACAATTCACACTACCGTAAACGGGGTGGCTTCTAAACAGAAATGTATTGCTCACAGTTCTGGAGGCTGGGAAGTCTGGGATCCAGGCCCTTGAGGACTGGTGTCTGGCTCCTAAGCAGAGCCTTCTTTCTGTCCTTGAATGGTGAAAAGGTTGTGGGCTGGTGTTCTTCCCCCCAACTTCACCCCCCCCTTATAAGGCTCTACCCTCATGACTTAATCACCTCCCAGTACCATCACCTTAGGGATTAGGACTTCAACCTATGAATTTTGGGGGACACAAGCATTCAGCCCCATAGCCTTTATCTTAGGAGCTAGAGAGGGACTTATTTTTTTTGGGGGGGACGGAGTTTTGCTCTTGTTACCCAGGCTGGAGTGCAATGGTGCGATCTCGGCTCACCGCAACCTCCGCCTCCTGGGTTCAGGCAATTCTCCTGCCTCAGCCTCCTGAGTAGCTGGGATTACAGGAACACGCCACCATTCCCAGCTAATTTTTTTTTTTTTTTTTTGTATTTTTAGTAGAGACGGGGTTTCACTGTGTTGACCAGGATGGTCTCGATCTCTTGACCTCGTGATCCACCCACCTCGGCCTCCCAAAGTGCTGGGATTACAGGCTTGAGCCACTGCGCCCAGCCGAGAGGGACTTATAAAAGACAGAGGTTGGAAAGATGGTGATTAGTAAACCAGAATATTGGTGGGGGGATGTGGCTCTCGCCTGTAATCCTAGCGCTTTGGGAGGGCGAGGCAGGCAGATTGCTTGAGCTCAGGGTTTCGAAACCAGCCTGGACAACATGGCAATACCCCGTCTCTACAAAATATACAAAAATTAGGCGGGCATGGTGGCTCATACCTGTAGTCCCCCAGCTACTCAGGAGGCTGGGGTGGGAGAATCACCTCAGCCCGAGGAGGTGGAGGTTGCAGTGAGTCAAGATTGTGCCACTGCACTGCAGCCTGGGAGACACAGCGAAACCTTGTCAAAAAAAAAAAAAAAAAAAAAAAAAAACCTGAGAATGTTATGCTAGCCCAAGACCTTGTGATTCTTCTGCTTTGGTAACTTTGACTATTTGGGGTCATCTAACTCCAGCTGATTGGACAAATATGATTGATACTGATAGTTTATCCACTTTTGACTACAGACTACATGTGACTACATTTGAAAACCAAATCCCACAGGCAGCCAGCATAGACTGGGGACTGCCAGAAGCCTGGGCCTACAGGGACGGGGACGGCCAGCTGGGGTTGTCAGCCTGCCTGGGCAGACCTTATGGGTGGGTCCTGCAAGAAGGGTGGCGGGAGGGGGCATCTTTTCAGGCACTCCACACCCACTATCACTTCTCCTGAAGAATATTCTGCTTGTCACCAAAACAGGCCAACATGTTCCTTTGTCACAGATGTTTCTCACTGGAAACCCCTTAACCCCAGGACTGTATCTGTTTCGGGATCTTGGGGATGCTGGTGAAAATCGGGATCAAGTTCAAACGTCCGTTTCACTTGGGGTCAGAGGCTTCCTAACAAGTGGTCGGGGTAAATTGTGATGAACAAAACAAGATGGAGTATGAAAAGGCCCAAATACGGTTGTCTCTCTGCACTGGGTGCATTTTGAGAGGACGGGGCTCTACCCAGGGATGCTCAGAGGCAAGAGTTCAGGAACAAAAAAACCTACATTTGCGTCCCTGTCGTAGGGATCTCATCCTCCTGTCCTGGAAAGTGGGTGACCCACCCTCCTTCAACCTGAAAAGGCTCCTGCTTGACTGGGACCTCACCCACCTCGAGCCCACCACCCTTTAAGAAAGGGGGTGCCAGTCCGGGCGCGGCAGCCGGGGACAGGGGAGAAATAAATTAGACCCCATTCCCCAGGCGCCCCTCGACGCCACCTGCCAGTCAACCCCCGCCGGTGAAGCCGCAGGGTCCCCGCCCACCCCACCTGCGGGTGCCGCCCCGGGGCCCCGGCTCCGGCGAGGGAGGAGCGCGCGCTCGGGTGCGAGCAGGACACGGCCCGGCCGCGCGGGAGGGCGGCGGCGGCGGCGGCGGAGGAGGGCGCTGAAGCCACACCCATCGGCGAGCCGATTCCGGGGCAGCGAGTCGTCCGCCGCCGCGCTCGAGCCTCCGCCCGCACCGAGCCGCGGGACCCGGGACGTACTGGGGAGGGGCCGCTCCGGGCCGCAGCGCGAGGGCAGCGAGGGGCGGCGGGGACCCGGCACCGGGCGGGGCCGGCGGCAGCGACCATGATCGCTTTGTTCAACAAGCTGCTGGACTGGTTCAAGGCCCTGTTCTGGAAGGAGGAGATGGAGCTCACGCTGGTCGGGCTTCAGTACTCGGGCAAGACCACCTTCGTCAACGTGATCGCGGTACGAGGGCGCCCGGGGCGGGGGCCCCGGGCTCCGGCCGCGCGTTGGGCCTGTCTCCGCCCGCGCCGCGCCCTGCTGAGCCGGGGTCGCCGCCTGGCATGGCCGGGCACGGCCGGGCGCCGGGCGGGGGAGGAGCCGGCCCCGAGCGCTTGGGGCCTAGTACGGCCCGTGCGGTGGGGGACCCGGCGGCGCGCGACCCCTCTCCCACTCGGGCGGGTACTGCACGGCTGGAGGCAGAGGAAGGGGGGCGAACAGACAGGGCCGGTGCCACGGGGCAGGCGGCACCGAGGGGCTCTCGAGGCAGGAGGGACCCGCCGCCGGCTGAGGCGGGCCCCCTCTAGCCCCCGCGCACGGGGGCATGACGGGGCGAAAGTGCCCGGGCCTTCCTGTCCCGCGGGCAGAGGGTCAGGGGTAGGCACCGCCGAGTGGCTTGGGAAGGGGTCCGGGAAAAGCCCAGCCGCACCCAGAGGGCTTAACCCCTCCTTGCCGGAAGAGGAAGCCCCTGGCCTGTTGAGGGGGAGGGGAGGTATCCCCAGGGGTAGAGGAGTCAGCTGAGGCCCTTGGCTGCAGCCCAGACTCCTCCCCAACCTCTCCCCGACCCGCAGTGTCTATCGGGGGTCCGGGGGGATGGCATGGTAACGGGAGTTTGGAGACTCCGTCCTGCTCGGAAGTTGCGGGAGTAGATGCTCCGACAAGAGGATGGGGTGCAGGGGCACTGCCCGCTGGGGCCCGGGGAGAGTGGCTCGAAGGGCTGTGGGTAGTCAACACTGAAGTGGGTGATTGTAAGAGTCTTTCAGTGCCGGGCGAGTGGTGGGGAAGGAGTTAAAATCTCTCTCAAAAAAAGGGGAAGATGAGCTCCATGGGTGTGAGCCGAGGCTGCAGTAATGGCTGCGGCCTGCCTGTCAGAGCCAGGCTAGACAGGGCTTGCGGGTAGAAGAAGCATGGGACAGGAGCTGGGGTTGTCCAGGGCCCTGGCCCCAGTCCCAAAGCTGAGGTTGCCAACAACTGTGAGTTGGCCAGACAGTAACCAAAGATACTGATAAGAGAGGTCAGCAGAGGACCGTGTCTGGCTGGGCCAGGTACCCCCAGCTGCCTGTGGTGTTGCCCTGCCTTGCAGAAGATGGGCCTCCGGACAGGTCTTAGCATCTCAGAAGGTAGGGGACGTCACTTCACTGGACCTGAGGCGTGAAGGCAGATGGAAGGCTCCAGGGGCAAGCACCCCACGGTTGTAGGATCGAGCACTGGCTTCCTTTCCCAAACATGCTCTGCCGATGACCTCTGCCCTTCCTCGACCCAGCGTCTCCTGGCTCCTGGCCTAACAGGGCAGCGCCTTCAGGCCAATCCTGTGGTTTTGGCACAATGGTTTTCGGAGCTAGTGCTCCGGGGTTCTGTCTGCCCAGGCTCTGCCCTTGAGGCCAGAGACCCTCTGGTTAAACTTGGCATTGACTATGGCTCTTGGGTTCCCAGAGCAGGCACACA